CCTCGTGGCACTGCGATTAACACGTTCCGCAGGCGACAGTGACATGCTTGACGACACAGGGTGTTTACTGGACTTGTGTGACGACATGATACGACATGTTATCAACAATGATAAATTGATTAGATTGTGCTTCGATTACTTACGGCATGTGTAGGTATAGAGTATTCAATGGTAGAATAATGTAGCGTTAAGATTACATAGTTTTGAATATACGTTTTAAGAGAAACTACATGTGCTACTACTAATAGTTAGTGCTAATCGCGATATTTCATATCAATTTTCTCTTTAAAATATTAAATACAAATAACAAAAACTAAAATCAGTAGTAGTTGTAACCAAATATAATATTTTATCGGTAAATAGCTGACCCAGCAAATATCTTACTGCCTAAATATTTTTTCTCACGTGGCTTCCACGTACATTTTCAAGACATTCATTTTTATTTAGGTATATATGTAGATAAATAATTAGAGATAAATTTTTATACGTCTAAAGAAGTGTTAAAAAGATTACAAATTACACCGCATTGTGTGTCTAAGTTCTATTCAAGCATTAAGTTAGAACATTTATTATAATTGCATAAGTAAGTAAAAGTGAGTGTCCTTTACACCAAGGTCGCAAGGGCAGGCCGTTTTATAGTTATACATATTTTAGAGCATTTATGCTCTCGTGAACCACCGAAGTCTGCAAAGTTTTAAAGGTTATAGTCTTTACTGATTGAGGTTATTGACCTCTCACTCTGCATATAACACGAAACGTATCTATTTCAAAACTAGTTACACATGTCTGCCAGTTTGTTGAAATTTGAAATTAACTTGAAATGGTTCACGAATTTCAGTTTGCTATTTTAGTTGCGAAAGTTCGCTAAAATTCGAGCAATGCGATGGTCGTTCGTTTTAATTTGATTTAACTTTACGTTTAGTTAAAAACTTAATAGGTACCGTGTCTGTGAGACGTGTGTATTCAGGCAAGTAGATAGTGCATCTAAATTGCATTAGGTATTTAATAAGCTATGTTGTCTAGCTCCAAAAACCCAAGAAATATTTTATATATTTTATGGAACCCGATTTTTTTTATGGCATAAGCCGGTAAACGAGCAAACGGATCACCTGATGGTAAGCAATCGGCGTCGCCCATGAACACCTGGAACACCAGAGGCGTTACAAGTGCGTTACCGGCCTTTTGGGGATTAGGAGTGTGAGGATCGTTGGGGATTCAGGAATTGGATTGGGGAAGGGGAGAGTAATTGGGCCTCCGTTAACCTCACTCACACGACGAAACACAACGCAAGCGTTGCTTCACGTCGGTTTTCTGTGAGGCCGTGGTATCATACCAGTTGAGCCGGCCCATTCCTGCCCAAGCATGGCTCTCCCACACTTTGATTGTGATGAATGTGCAGGCACTAGGTCTTACTTTAGTCACATATTTTTACGCATGATAAAAACAACAAACTTAAAGTAGACTCTAAAATCTTCATTAAAATCAAGTCATTGTAACTATAAACTCGAAACTCAGATCCTAGTACAATAACTTCACTAGCGATTCAAATCAAACAGATAGTTCGTAGGTATCAATATTAATTGAGTAAGTATCGATGTTGCATAAATTAATGCTGGCAGCCCATCCATCCTCGATTCTAATTAGCTACAAGATAGGTAACCTGTTAATTAGGAATCTGAGCTTAGACTAGATGAAGGAGCTTAGAGCACTAATGATGTTATGACAGATTTGCATCATGATGAAGGCTGGAGGTAAAAGTATAAGTATTATTTTATGATGTTGTGATTTTGGTTGTAGTCTGGTATTATTAAGGCTTTGAATGCCAATTAAAATCTGTTGAAGGAAATCCTCCGTCGGTTACTGGTGACCCCCATGGCATTTAAATTGGTCAAATCATTTGATTTGACCAATTATTATTTGGTTTTATTTGATCAATTATACGACCATTTGGTCGTAGTCGTAGTTGCGACTATTGGGGTGCCTGATTTTAACAACTGGGTCAGGAAAAATGCTGGTACTTTTTCAGATTTGCAAAAATTTCTCAGCAGGTGATGCCACGAATTTTAAAATTCATTTCAGTGTATATCGATGACGTATTACATAACATAAGGATTATAATAAAACTGATGAAAAGTGGCCTGGCAGTGCCGATTGTTGTGGAGACCCACTCTATTAAACTCTAGAACGATCCAAAATTTAATTTTGTATTATGTCCAACAAAACCATACTACGCTCTTTCAAAGATTTGAAATAATAATTACAAAATAATTATCCTTGAGCGAAAAATGAATCCTTATTCAAGTGATTAAAGTACTCTGAGAGACCCCACCTGAAATAGGGTAGAACTCATTCAAGCCTTAAAATAAAAACGTAATACCTTTTTAACTAATTCAACTTTCTGCCGTTCTTCAAATAGATGGGGGATGGGGGTGAAATTAATTAAAAAAGGGGGTAAAATGGCTTCGTAACTTTAGATTTGCTCATCAATTCGGTGCTCTGCATTATACATTGAATATAAATGAGATAAACGTGTCAGTTTTGTTGCATTTCGATGATATATGGGCTGTGTGTTTTGTCAGTTTGTTTAGCTTTTATCTAAATTGGATTTCCGTACAGGTTTTTGGGTCAACGGCTACGTATTTTATTTGTATTTTTGACTGGTTGAAGACCAAAAGCTCGGGAGTTGTACTTATATCCGATGTCTTCAAAATGTGTTTGTCCTTATACTTGGATACTAGCATTAAGATTGTTTTATGGGTTTTTATATATACTATATTGGTATTTATTTCTGCAAATTGGTTACAAGGCAGCACTTTTACATGTCCATTTTATCAAGCTAACGATGAGGCCGACATTTCCTAACTGACTACTCTAAGAAGAAATATTTTTTTTTGCTATCTGCTTCATTGTCATAAAAGACAGATTTATAAATGTTGAACGAGTGATACGGAACTTGTTAAGTTATGAGATACTCTATTGTGAAAATGTGAATAGTGCCACTGAATAGTGACTTTAATTTATACTATACATAGACACGGCTTTAGATTAATCTCTTTGGAAACATTGAACTGGTTACTAGCTACCTTAAAATGACCTTTATTACTATGACCGTAAATATCATTTAAAAAATGTGGTCAAGTAGAAATTACACTGAGAAATACAACAATATTAGTAGAAACACACAAACGTTTATCTTTCACCATAACAAACAAACAAAACATGAAAGAAAACAAAATAAATTCTTTTGTCTCAACAAATAGAAGAGAATCACTATTTTCATAGTCCATAGGAAAACAGGCCGGTCTATGTCATTAGTGTATTCAGTGGAATAACTAAAACGTAGCTGTTTAGTTCAGTTTTCACAACGCCAGAGGGCCTCATGATTAATTCTCAATGTGTCGTGGTTAGCTTATTGAAATATGTATGCTTTGGTTCTGGTGTATCATAGCAGAGAAATCAGTAAAGGCCACTGTTCATTTATTATTATAATTGATAATAATGGTTTGTGGTCCTGTGCTCGGGCGTTGAGCTTTGACTGGTTGTCACTGGTGTGGCTTGGGGAGATAGGTACCAGTCTGTTGATAATGTGTCATGTTCCGTAAGTTAAGTATCTATTAGGTTTATTGTTTAGAGTTATCCACGATGGAATATTGTCAGATTAAGGAAATGTATACTCGTTTTCGATTTCGTTGCGTTTAAATTTAGATAGTATTTCCATTTCACGACATCGAAAGAGAATAATAATGATTCCTTTTTTAATAACTATATCTACGTGGAACATAAAAGCATTAATACGATTTAATAAGTATTTTTTCCATTAAAATTAAAAGAAAATGCAACAAAAATATAACCCAAACTTATAACTTCAAAGTGTGTGAGAACCATGCTTCGGCACGAATTGGCAGGTTCGATAGAAGTGATACCACAGAAAACCGACGTGAAACAATACTTGTGTTGTGTTTCGTCATGTGAGTGAGGTTACCGGAGGCCCAGTTACTCCTTCCCCAGTCACCCCAATCCCTGAATCCCGCACAATCCTCAAATTCTCAATTCCCAAAAGGCTGGTAACGCACTTGTAACGCCTTGGTGTTTCAGGTGTCCATGGGCGGCGCTGATTGCCTACCATCAGGTGATACGTCTGCTCGTTTACCGGCTTATGCTATAAAAAAATCCAAAACACATAAAGTGGTCGGGTTTGTGCAATACATATGTACAGCAATCAATTATGTATGACGTAATTAAAGCCGGCTATTCAAATATGACCAAAGTGATAAACTTGTAGTTTAATATTAAATGGCAAACCAGTATTACGGTATCAATTTATTTATGCATAACGTAGGTTTAGCGTCGCGACCGCAGCCTATATTGGAAAGGCAGGTCGTTTTAGGGAAAATTATTTAATGCGTAAAATTATTATGTAGTCACATAGCTAATTTGAATATGTAGTGAACGGGTTTTTTTAATAAAACGTTGCCCCACACTAGGATTTTGCTCATGTGTCGTGGGCCCGGAGGTTTAAGACAGCTTATCATGCATAAGGGCAAGTACCAATGTGACTTCTTCCGAGTTATATGTACTTTCTAAGATTATTTACAAACCACTGACAAACGGTGAAGGAAAATCATCCAATGACTTCTCCCGCCTTGGGTTGGCGAGAGGGAGTGTCAGACTTTTACTGACTAAAAACCACCCCGTTCCTACTCCTGCTCTACGAGTTGGAGCCCCGGCAACCCGTTAGGCCTTCCGCGGCTCCGTATCGGGCATCAGCCCTACTGGGTCCCATCTATGGTGGTCTGATGGCTCTAATCGTGAGGAAACATGGACTTATAATTTCTAATTATAAGTTTGAAATTGCAAACCAGCATTGAGCAAGCGTGGTGTTTCGTGATTAATGCCTTCTCCTTGGCTGAGTCCGAGGCCTTTGGTCAGCAGTGGCCACATATAGGCTGATGATGATTAAGTTAAAATTATTATACATGTATTAAGTTATAGGTACTCACAGTAGCTCTAGAGGTCCCGCTGTCAAGGCTGCTCTGCGAAGATATGGATGGCGTCCTAGCAAGCCTGGCGTGAGGCAGGGAACTGGCCGCCCTGCCTTCGGTGGCCAGGGGCTGCACGCGGCACTGCTCTTTGGGTATCAGCATCTCCTGTCAACAATAAAGGTTGCTTGAAACACTGGAACTGAAGAAGACGTAAGGTAGATATTGTTCAGGTTGACTGTTAATTACATTTTATGTAAGTGAAACTACTGAATTAGTTTCTACAACGCAATACTTGCTTTCGCCTGTGATACAGGGCTTTCCTAGTACATCGCTTATTAAGATAATATTTTGTACTTTACTCATTTTATAATCAATAAAGATTATTCATTTATTATTTACTTTATTTACACGTCAATTTGTCGAGCGAACGATAAGGTCGACAGTTATAGTTATGAGAATTATGTGTCTAATACTTTTTGACATAGGTACATACATAATTCTCAGAAAACTGATTTACCTAGTTCTTTCGTATATGGCATCATATCGTGAGCGGTGTAATACTCATAATGGCAAATAGGAGATGTTTATTGTGATAGTGGATCTCCAAATAATACGTTAACAAAACTGATTTGTTTCTTATAAAACTGCTTAGGCCAAACGTTATAAATTCCTATAGGTTCTTAGTGCTGACTCCCAAATGAAACTTATTCAGTAAATTACTTTAGCCAAATTAAATAATGTGTTGGTACCCATTAGAAGCCAAAAATAATAGTCTAAAGAAACTATAATTTTATAAATATCAAAAATATTTTATAATGTTTACTTACTAATATCATTGTAATCTGTTTTTGTATGTTACAATGAATATTTTCATTTTACTTTATTTAAATGAAATCAATCATCCTGGCAGGTTATACCCAATGCGATAATATTGTCACTTAATATATAAATTTATAATTAACATTGTTATAAGATCGCCATATTCATTGCACTTATCCATCAAGTTGAAATAACAATTAGGTACATCTGTCTTTACTTTTATGAACTCCGCCAATGAGCAACTGAAAATATCTCATTTTTGTCCAACGCTATTAATTATAGCTCTAGCCACAGGAGCATATTGACGGGGAGCATATTTGTGCGAGCGGTGAGGACTTCAAACAGTCTCTCCCTTGGCATATAAACCTGAAGTGTTTGTTTGTTTGTATGAACGCGTTTATCTCAGGAACTACTGATTAGATTTGAAAACTGATTTTTGTGTTCAATAGTCCATTTATCGAGGAAGCTATAAAACATCGTGCCATGATCAATAGGAGCCGAGCAGAGGTTGAAGTTGCGCAAAAGTAGCTAGTGTAATATGTATATTTTCTAAGAGAAACCCTAACACTTAATAGGTTCTTTCTTCTATAAATGCGCGTTTTTATGAAAGGAAAGATAATAATCTTCGTTGCTGGTTAAATAAAAATATAAGAAGCTTAAGTTCTATAGTATTATACTTGCAACGCAATGTAAAGTGTTTATAACCCGAGCTGCTCGGAAAATCCTCGGCTTCCCTAGCATTTTCTTATACGCAATATCGCACTTTTATAACTTTATTAAACGAGCATTTTTCTTGGGTTTCTCTCTAAAAGGTGGTGATGAGTTGGAGAATATATAATAGTAAAATATAACATTTGTTTTGTTAGTAAGTTAGTAGATTTAGTAGGCCAGTTTCATGCTTCTATGAAATTTCTGCCATACCTCCTGAAGTTTTATTTTTAATTCAATCTGGTGTGTTAAGAGTGAAACAGACTATTTTTATAATAACACAACATCACGCCTTTCTTCTCCGAAGGGGTAGGTAGAGGTGCACATTATGGCACTAAATGCCACTGTATCATGTAAAACCCACTTTTCACTATTTTATGTTATGAGTCCCATGTAATAGGGGGTAAGCCTATTGCCATATACCGGGCACAATTCCAGACTCCGTGATACCACTGAGAATTTTTAAACCCAGTAATTCTTTGCTCGACCCTAAAATCGAATCCGAGACCCTTTGCCCGGCAGTCGCACTTGCGACCACTCGACCAACGAGGCAATCGTGAGACATACTAAATTAACTAAAAATCGCGGGTACTGAGAAAAGCTCTACTAGCGCGGTCGCGGCGATGTTGTGCAGCCTAGGCTGTGCGAGCTGTGATTCATGAGGAAGAACCCCTCTGTAGTTCGAAACTAGTAGAGTTTTTCTTAGTATATTCACGTGAGTAAGATTTTTAGCTGATTTAGTGAAACAGATTGTTATGGAAAACAGTTTTGCATCTAAGTTAAACTTACTTTTTGATGATGCATGATTTTTTTGTAATGACTTTTTGTTTTTAGTATTGTATAGTGTCTTTTATGTAACACTTTTACCGCGACGAACATAGCAACAGGTCACCTTACACAGAATAACCTAAGAAGCTAAGTTTATAGGTCACAAAAGGAAACTCGTAAATCCTAAATCCGGCCTAGAATAATCCTTCTTCCAAACTTATTCTGTTGTTTTGGGAATTGTCATAAGTTGAGCACCTTATCTTCTTTTATAACAGTTATTATTTTAAGTTATGTTATGTAAATCTAATGCTTTGAGACTTTAGTAATATTGTACATCTGAACAGATTGACTTCGAAGGATTAAGATACATCTTCATGACTGCCTCGTTGGCCGAGTGGTCGCAAGGGGTGACTGTGTATGTGAATTTAGTTCGTAAACGCGCTAACGACATAGGAGAAAATCCTTGTCTGGGGCAATGTTTAAAAAAAAACGGTACTAGTACTTAACTTACAATCGCAGTTCATTTGCGATCATCAATAACAAAAACTAAAAATTGAAACTTTATTCACACTAACAGTAAGAAAAATGATTCTTAATGTCGTCAAAATAAGGTCAATAGCTTCAGCCAGTTCGTTTACAGTATAAATATGACTTAAAACATTTGGCCCCGAGGGCTATCAATCAACCTGGGTTGACAAGCAATCGATCCATTCAATATTTTTCTTCGGTGACAAATTGCTATTTTAAAGGTGTAATTTAAATATCATATTGAGAACTAGCTGTTGCCTGTGACTTCGACCGAATAGAATACGAATTTTAGAACATAATTCTTTTATGTTTAAATTATCCAAAATGAAAGTAACATCAGCTACTAGCCAATAAAAGTCTCGCAAAATCGGTCCAGCTATTTCAGAGATTAGCCAGTACAAATATATAGACAGACTTAAATTGTAAAAAAATCTTATTTTAGTATGTGTACCGTATGTATATTCAATATTCATATGCATGTAGTGAAAAGCGGTTATTTTAATATTACAAACAGACACTCCAATTTTATTTATCTGTGTAGATTTTTTGTGAGAGTTTAAATGTTGAAACCGTATAACACCGTACGGTTCAGTACGGTGTGGAAATGAAGCTTGCTTTGAATGTCTGTCCTAGTCATTACGTTACAAAATTAAAAGCGGGATTTGAAGAACATTACCAATACACAAAAACGAAAGTTCTTGCCTAAAAACACATTAAACCGTCGAGACAATATTCCTAGAAAACTCCTAAAAATAAAAATGTTAACGAAGAAAGCTAAAACAACAGTGGATTAATTAAATTGAAAAGAATAATTACAATATTTGATTAGTCCTTGTTTATACAAAATGGGCGCTGGTTTCTTCTAGAAGCTTTCTAAGCTAATCAATGTTGTTTGCCTTTTTCTAAACGTTGCCAGAAGATAACTCAATTAGATTTTTCTTTAGAATTCTTTAGAATCAACGATGTGAAATAAAATGAGAGAGAACAGGTAATATTAATTATCAAGTTATGTTTAATGAAATTATCAACTGTTTGGTAAGGTGTTTAAAATAATTATTTAACTACAGTTTTCGTTTATAAAGACAACAACATATATTACAACATAATTTCACACATTACGGCACTAAATGCCGCTATACAATGTAACACCTGGTTTTCACTATTTTATGTTATGAGTCCCATGTAATAGGGGGCGAGCCTATTGCCATTTACCGGACACATTTCCAAACTCCGTGCTACTACTGAGATTTTTAAAAACCCAGTAATAATCATACCCGATACGCAGTCGCACTTGCGGCCACGTGGCCAATGAGGCAGTCTTTGAAGAAACTAGCTTTTACTCGCGGCTTTGCACGCGTATTCTTGTTTTATCCAATGACAGCATTTAATCGAGATAAAAGGTCCTATCACTGAAATCAGTCCATCCATCATCAAAATCCGTGCAGTACTTTCAGCGTGATTGACGGCCAAAAATCCAAATAAAGAAACTCACATTTATAATATTAGTGTTCATTGGCGAATAATAAATTATCTTCGTTTTGTAAACTCCAGGATGAATCAAGCCGAACTTAGCCTTAAGAAAAACACAACTTAGTATTTGTACCCAATAGTATGAATAAACGTTCGTAAAAAAGGTACTACTTGAGTCTAAAACCCACATAGATAAGTTACAGCACTCTTGCTTACTCTCATCTAACAAAAAAGGTCTGATATTACTAAAACTCCCCATCTCACAAAAAGAGAGTTAATGTACTCGAATTATTTATTTACTTGATGAAGCTACCTTCGTCATATAGTAACAAATATGTACCAGTTTGCCAGTTCTCACGAAGTTTTCCACACAAATATCGCACGTATTTACATATTAATTTCATACGTCTGAACCTTTGTAAATAATAAATGATGCAAAGCAATTTCCCTTGGAACACAAAACTCCATGGAAGTTTGTCCCGCGTTGCGGGTTATATTGAAAAGTTAAACAGAAGTTGATATAAAATTTGAATTTTGTTGTCATGTCATTGAATTAATGGATAGAAAATTAAGTATTGTGTGAAAAACAAGAAGTCTTTGGAAAGATATTACGGTGGAGGTGAATCTGAGAAAGCTCTGAGTTGGTGACTGGCTTAAAACAGCCAAGAATGATGAGATAGTGTGAAATCTCGTATTGGACGACTAGATCCACTTTGGGTCGCTAAGTCAAAGGAGTAAGTGCATATACTGTGAAGTCTAGAAACTGGATTTTAGGATACCTATTATTGTAACTGCGACATACTTATACCATTAAAATAAACAGTTGGAATCGCATTGAGGTTAATTTCCCAAAGTCCTTGAATAAGGCCTGAATCTTTAAAATAACAATCTTATAAGCTTTTCTTTAAATCGTAAACGAAACGTCTTGGTAATACAATAGCAGTATGATATAGTGTGACTTTTATTTACATTCGAACCCATACGTATGAATACAAACACAAAGTAAACATTTGTGAGCCGTATTCACGAACAATATTCAATTATAACGGTCACTGTACAAAAATATTCAGAAGCACAATTCGAAAAGAATTCATCACTGAGGTCACATTGCGGTCGTCAACCTACGAACGGGCATCATTTGTTTTTATAGGGCATTGATATGGTTTTATCGTTTCAAAAACATATTTTTATAATAACTTACGTGAGACATACTAAATTAACTAAAATCTCGGGTTACTCACGTGAATATATATACTGAGAAAAGCTCTACTAGTTTCGAACCACAGAGGGGTTCTTCCTCATGAGGTTGGCGTTAACGCCAGCCGCAGTAGGCTGGCATCACCGCGACCGCGCACGTTACTTTCACCAGAACACCATGACGGCGCAACCAGTCGCTTCTACCATTAAAATGTATACAGTTCTTCAGATTGGTTGCCCAAGCGGGCACTAGGTGAGTCGGTAACTCCCTATAGAGCTGTATACATGTTATTGGTAGCGGTGACTGGTTGCGCAGCCATGGAGTCGCAGTGAAATATAGCCCTAACAGTCACCTATTGGAGTTTTGACCTCCTATACATTACAGAGTTTACCACAATCTCCACGCATGGTATGCTGGGTTTAAAATCTCAGTTTAAAAGGTTTCTTAGTTAGTTCTTACGACGACCGTGGGAAGAGCCAACGTTGTTAGAAATGTAGTTAGACCTGCCGTACCCACTACAAGACTAATTCGTAAGACCCCTACCCTGCATTATGCGAAAAGAAATGAAAAATGTACAAGTAATAATCCTGTTAATAAAATAAAACCGCGCAATACCACTACGTTGGTCTCATGTTTTACTGTAGTTGTGTTTCTGTTTTCTATTTACAATGTAAGGGTCGCCTGCTGTGAGTACGAGCATCGTTGGAGCAGCCATATTGGAAATTTTAGTGCCAACTCGAAATAGTGATTAAACTGGAGCACTTGCGCGTTATAGCTACAGTAACGTTATTCATTGCTTTTGACCCTTCGTGAATGTTTAATTGGCACTTTGAAAAACTCTCCTCACATTTCTAATGGCTAGGATAGATTGGAGCTAAGTATTTTTCTTTTTAACTCGAAAAGTTGGATACTTTTTGCTTAGTAGAAACTTGATACCTACTCTAGTCTAAAGTGTCTATTGGTTTATACAGATAATATACGTAATTTTCGAGTTCACAATATCATATAATTTACAATTCAGTAGCTCATTGTTAAAATGTATTACCTAAGTTGTAACTCTATTCCAAGCATTATCATTCTATGATAATACAAGAATTACTAGAATTACTGAATGTCAGAGGTGTTCCTAGTAAAGTAACAACCGGTTCATATCGGTTCATATTTTCAGGAAAACGTCTTGCGGTCAAATCTGATTGAGACTGACTACTAATCAGCCTAGAAGAAAAGTAGCAAGGAGTTAGCAACCACACAAATCAACAAGACCCACACCAACGTGCAAATAAACTTATTCTTATTCTTTTAAACAATACCTAATCTGCCATTCAAATATGAAAAAACAAAATCTAGATACATATCTACATTTTTTGTCTCATTGGAAGAGTGCCTCGTTATTTCGAACTCTTGAATTGTAAAAATAATAAGCCACGCGCTTGTTTTCCCAACTAGAGGATTGCCCGCGGCAGCGCCCGTCAAAATATTGTTCTATAGAACTGTTGACAGGCACTTGGGAAACGGTCCACTCGGGGATTTTGATATTCGAATATTCGGATAAAAGTGTACACTGTTGTCATGTCATCTGACGACACTTTCGTTAATTGGATTCGTATTAATTTCTATCGTGAAATCGAGTGTAGTTGTAACAGGGATTTATCGTTGTTTGTTATGATTGTGTTAACCTGTGAACTTTTGTTGATTTTGAATGGTATGTTTTTAGTTTTGATTTCTTATTATATGGTATTACTCATAAAAGAGTAAATACCAATGTTGAGTTTTATATAGCCTTGGTTTAACTCAAGCTTTTAAAGACTAGATTTGAAACTTCTTCTCTGATGTGGCAACACTGAATTCAAATATGATTATTAATAAAACCTACTTCGAAAGCACCTAGTACATTTTACTTTTATATTGTAATCCGTATTATACTCGTAAGTACCCACGGTTTGCTTCAATAACTCGCAAGTACACGTATTGATTTCGATTCGTTGAATATCATTCAAGCATCGATGTTCGCTCTTTGCTCGAGCGTACATTTTATTACATTTTTCATCTCGACTGTACCCACTGTCAAAGTAAATAAGTAATCTTATTTATCTCTCGATCTATATAGCATAGGTACATGTTTGATTGATTATTTGTTTATTGGTTTTCAATTTTATAGGTAGGATTGAGTATATTGAAGCGAATGTGTTTGGTTTTGATTTTCGAGTCGACCAAAGTATTGGTGAATATTTCGCTTTCGATACCGTAGAAGATACATCGATTCAAATCACTATAAAAAAAGTCATATGACTGCTTATCCCCTCAGGGGATAATGATCATTATTAACATTAATAGACTGTGTCAAACACATGATACTCTTATTTAGGGAACATGAAGTAATTCCGCCATGATGGCGTCCGGTCCAGTTAACGCCACAATATCCCCTGAGGGAGCGTTCCACTCGGTCGCGAATATGTCCTAAAATTGCCACAAGTCACCGAGGGATAACCAAAAGCACACTATAAATATTTCGTCACCTAATCATGATCCTCAACCTGTGTGCCCAGTGAAGAGATAATAACTCCTTTTTGAGAAGGGAGAATCAGGTTATGATCAGTCATGACGGACTCTGTCCGTTTTTTTATGGCATAGAAGGCAAATGAGCAGACGGGCAGACGGACCAGAGGAGTCTCAAATGCGTTGCCGGCCTTTTAAAAAGCTCTTTTCTTGAATGTTTGAAGATCGTATCGCTTCGGAAATACCGCCGACGACAAATCATTCCACAGTTTTGCTGTTCGCGGCAGAAAGCTACGTGAGAAGCGTACAGTTGTGGCCTGCCAACCATCTATATGATAGGGATGCATATGCTGTCATGAGGGTCGATGGCAAAAAGATACGGCAGGTATCAGGCCAAACAATTTTACCAACTTCTCCTAAATTTTAAGCTTAGGTCATATTTAAGTATTAACTTACCTTTAAGTGAGACCTAACAGTGTAAGTAATTGGTTAGTTTAGGGACTACGTCACGCTAAGTAACTTTTAGTTAAGAGATGGTTAAGGGGTGGTTGACGAATACGGCCATTGGAAATTATTTCTTAAATTACTTACATTTGGGCTGCCATGTGATTTGTCATCACCAAAGCTGTCAGTAGAGTTGTGACTTTGACCGCTACTGGCACTCGATGTCCTCTCCCGTGCGGCCCGGGCCCATGACTCCAGCCGTTTCTGTGCAGCCCACACACCAGGGGGGCCCAACCCACTCATCGTGTCTTTTTACACTGGTACCATCACTATCACACTCACAAATAATTAGGCCGTTTTTACTAATAAAATAGAATAAATAGAATATGGTTCGTTGTTATTTATTTGCTTTTTATTATTTTGTTGGACATGGATTAGCTGGGGAATTGAATTATGATTAATTGAATTTTAGCTGTCAATTAGATGGCTTGTAGTTGTGACTCATTGATTAAAATTAGGCTGTTTTAATTTGCGTTATATTTTATGTATCTAGTATCTATATATAGGTTCTTATTTATTTTTTGATATAACGTTTAATGGATGGGTTAAGTTATTTTTATTGGTGCGAACTCATTAATTAGGACATGATAGTCGATTTCCTACATATCCAACAAGAGTAGTATCTAAAGCTATGGACTCACGGCGGGATGTTCTCGTGTGCCCGCAGCGGTCGTGGTTACGATTATTACTACAAAACTTGGCGGTTGATTATCGTAAGACGTGCGGGCGGTTAAGAATCAGTTGAGTTCGTAACCGGCCGTCCCATTGCGATCGCCTGCCAACCGATCGCAGAGCACGCGGGTGGTAGCCGCCGCGGCTATGGAACTGCGGCCGCTTCCGCCGATGCAGCGGGAGACGCAAACAATCGCAACCGCCGCGGGCGTAAAACGCACCGTGAAAATTGCTTTGATCGTTATATACATATCTGTATGCTACAAAGGCTGTGGGCCCGCAACCGCGTCAGGAACGGGGGAGAAAATCGCGCCGTGAATCCTGAGCCTGAATATCAGTTCAGGTTCTTTGTTATCAATTACAAGCATTTAAAAATAAAATCTGTTTAAAACGTTCCCAAGAGAAATACGGTACTTTTAATCCAAAGAAATGATCACTTGTAACTCGAGCAAACAAAACGCAACGTGAGAAAGCTTGTTATTTAATTAAAACTAATGACGGATCGCGTTTTGTTCGCAGTAACAGTGCAGTTCGCAAACCTACCCGCCAACTGAGTGCCCACAGATAATATATTGCAGTTACAAAGTAGCCTTCTATGATAAATGGGAGCTAATAATGGAAGGTATAATATCGAAGGAAAAATATGATATGAGTATAGTTTCAATTTTATGGAAGAGTTTACGATAGGTGAATAGCCCAATTAATCACGTGTTTGGAATTTTATTATGGCCTGAAGATGATTTTATTGTTCCAATAAATATTAATTGACATCTTGTACTCTTTTTAGGAAGTTGCATTATCAATTTCAAATAGGCAAAAAAGAGTAAACGTTTTTGAACAGTTATACCAACACTACATGTATTTTTAGCGTGCACTTAGGTGTTGTACTAAATAAATTCATTTCTGAATTGATGAACGATAATCGAAACCCATAAATTGATGGATTCAATATCTACTGTAAACCTACTGAATTAACCATTCAGTATTATTTCTATGAAATAATTTTGTATATAGTAAAAGTTACTCTTTGTAGTAAAAACAGATAATATTTTGATTTGTTGCAAAGTAGACAGTTAGCCGCCAGCGATGTTGAGGTCGCAGACAAAGTTTGAACTGCGTGGGCGCCGTACGATCGTACACAGGGCGTACCAGACAGATCGTGAAAAGGACCATTCATATTAACTATTCAACAACAGTCTAGTTTTCAAAATCAGATGATTTCAAGGACATAACTGTTGTTAAGTGAATTAAATATGTGTGTAAGACAATTAAACTTCCGTTATCAATTTTAAATGATGAAAAATAGTCCAATTTGACGAGTGGACCTTCTTTATCATCATATAAAATGTCCGTAGTAAGAGTTACTACGTATCGTAGTAATTCTACGACATTAAAGGTGGGTGTTTGTTTACTCGCCGTCTCTAATCAATGTGCCGCCCCAGCCAAAGCTCTGAAAATCCATATTTCGTTACTCTCCAAATTCGACGGCGTATACCACGCCGTCATTTTATCGAAAGTTAAAAACAAATCCCAAGTTTTGATGGATTGGATGTAAGGTTAGTAAATTAGAATTGTGAGATGGATTTTTGTAATTCGATTTGTTTTATCTATAACAGTACAAGTAATCTAATACTAACGAGTGACAGCCTCGCTTCGACACAAATCTTGTGAACTTTATTGATTTCACATTGACATTTTGTGAACGTAATACCTCCCCGTCTCGTGTAATTGCTTTTCTTTACTTATTTAGTGAAGGTTCAGTCAAGGGCATCGATCCACTTTAGCCCCACGTTGGGCGCCATAAATAGAATCCACATAATAACGAGTTTTACATCCCCATACCATTTGGTAAACATTATGAAAAGTAATTAAAACCGTCTCTCTCAGTGCGCGATAGGAAGATGTTTCTTCTGCGGTATCATAAATCCAATTATTCCCTGACAGCATTATAATTACTTTCAGCAAATGCGAGGACTTTTGATTTCACATACGAAGCGAGTAGCGTTTCTCTAAAAAGCAATATGTGGATTGCTATTGGTAGAATAACGTTTCGTTTTCAATTGGGAACAAGAGGCTGAGAGGTTAGGGATGTGAACGAGGTTCGTTCATACATGGATAATGCGAATGGTCGCGATAAAACTTGGGGTAAGATTATGAACTAACTGTTGCGCCTCTAACGCTTTCCTGAGGGATATTATCGCGGAGATTGTACGTATTTATTTAAATTCTCGAGTCGCTGATGCCGTGATTACGTTTCAAGTATGAATGAGTCTGAGGTTTTCGGCTTAAAGGATTAATTTGGACGGTTTTTCTTACGATTTAATTTAGATTTGTTAATTTTGAACGGTTTATTTTTATACAAAATTGAAACGTAGCCCTATGTGTTAAAGTTAAAAAGTATTTAATGTTGTTTTTTATTTAGTTTTTGTGATGTTAAAATTAACTATTCCACTGTTTAATTAATTTTAAATGATTACAAGAAAGCTCTAAGTATTAAAGTTCATAGAGCACCGTGCACTAACACTTTGAGTAAATATGTAAATTGCTATAAATATGTAAATATGCGCAGACTCGCGACCGAACACGAAGAAAATTTACAAATTATTTATCTAAGAGAATTTTAAACAATAAAAACTGTGTCACTGAATAATAATTTTAGAATTTAAACCTAGATTTTTTTACGCACGAAATAAATAATGAATTATTTTTTAACCGAAAACAAAAACACGCGGCACACTCAATATACGAGACGAGTAAATAAAACAACTTAAATTGCTACCTAAACCACAATTTGAGCACTGTGCAAATAAGTTGAAGAAAACACAAGTTTTTTTAAACACGTATAAGTAATTAGAGGTGTGCTGTACAGTCTGTTGTCACTTATTACTAGGGTTGTCGGGGAGCGGTCGGCGCGGCTGGCGGCTCGCGCACACTGCCTCCGCCCGGGCTGGTGTTGCCAGCCCTCAGCCCTCCCCCACACACAGTGACGTCGACTATAGTTTCGAATGTACCCACCCGTGTAATAGGGGCTTTCGGGTCACCGCGGATGTGCAGGATTTAGACTAATTGTCAGTCATTAGGTGGACGTAAATGAAAGGAATTATTCAGAACCAGCACTTGAGTAGATATGTTTTGCAAGGCTGCAAATTAGCTTCCAACGATTCGCGATCTGATAAACCTGTTAAATAGCGGTTCAAACAAAATTAGACTTTAGTTACAAGTAGCATAGGGATTAATATTGAAGGTCAATCTTAAGGAAATAGACTTTTAATTTTGTTAATTACGCAAGTAATACCATTTGCAGTTAAAATGCTCTTAATGCAATGTGCGGTTGTTGAACAAAACGATACGGATATCTATAGGAGAAAGTTTTTTCTAATTACTTATATTATTAGTTATTACATATCTACTTATATTAACTAAATTTGAGCATTGCGTACGTACATGTACATGTATTAAAAGGTATATTTTAGTAAAAATACCAGACTGCAGAAGGTCACGTGGTTGAACATTTGCATCTCGTTTTGGATTTGTTCTAAATAGGTATTGTTTAACTTATTCAATAACAGAGTAAATATAAATTGTCATGCGATTGAAGTTTGAACAAAAAAACAAAAGAACTTATCTTTCAAAATTATCTAATAAAACAAACTCCCATATTTTCGGCAATCTTTGTTAAGTGGTAACACAGGGCGGTGGCGCATATCAGCCGCGTCACTTTCTCGAGGTTCGAGCAACAGGTAAGAAGAGCGACAGACATCGAACATCTATTGCGTCGATTACAAGTCGCAAAGACGTGCCATGCTTGACAATTAATATACCTTTTTAACAGACTTTAATTGCTAGCACTCGAGAAAGAATCGATTATTGGCATCGATTACACTAAACTAAACTAGTTTTAGCCAGTTTTGTTAGTTTGCCGTGTATATGGGGCAAAGGGTTGTTAAGGAAATAGAATTGAAAAGGTAATTATTTAGTGAAAAATTTACAAAATTGATTTTGATTTTAGGATTAATGTTGCGTTGTAAAAATACTATACAGTCTATCTAGTCAGATACAGTCGTATCGTCATATATTAATTGACACATAGATCCAAATAAAATAAAACTAATGTTGGTTAGTTACCTACACAATAACGTACTATACTACACAAACACAATTAGCATACTATTAAAACTTTAAACAAAAAACCATCACCACTTGAAATAAAACCAAAGTGTACATTCACTTAAATAGCAAGGCTTTTTTGTTGGCAAATAAAACGTAGTTTAACCAAAAAATATAACGAAACAAGAAATAACAGCAACTGAAAAAAACTGCTAACTGTTTTGTGGGAACGGAACGTGAAGAGTTTAACTGAAGTTTAATTGGCTGTAAGAAGGCTGTATTATTTGTCTGAGCGAGCTAAACTGTGGTTATGGGATAGACTAAAAAAGTCAAATCGTCCAAAGGTCCACTGCTGTGAAACAAAAGATTTTTTATATACGAAGAGCATGCCAATGTTTGTTATTTAGTGAAGCTATTTCCTGTCTTGAAAGAAAAGATTTCTGTTGGGATGAGCGAGGCCGGTTGTGTTTTTTCTTATCATGATATCCGTTCCAATTTTTAATAGAATAGACATGGTGGATCTGCACTTTCCTTTACTTCTTGAATAATTTTACTCACCGTTCCAATAAATTCATGTCTTAGAATGATAACTAAATAACTCCGTCTTAGTTTATTAACACCAAAATGTATACAAACTTCCTATCTATCCTGTAATTATAATTTCTG